CAAGAGAAAAACGTACCATGTACTCGCAGCGGCGACAAACATTAATGGCAAAGATTTGCGTACGCTATTCTAAAACTGTGTGTTAGAATGTCATGTCGCGTCGGGCACCAGAAGCTCGCTCCGTCATCACCTGATGAAAGTTGTAGCGCGAGAACAGAATGACGAGAAAGAGACATGAAGGACACGTGTGCTAACGTTTCTTTGTTTTTTTGTCGTCGTTCTATTCTCGCCCTATAACTATCATCATGTCATACCAAGTAGCCCAAACTGCCACACTTCTGTCATCACCGTTGACACCATCAGCATTTTCCATCCGAAGCGCGATTGAGATTGGCATAACGATGTCTGCATAGCTAGGCTGGACGAGAGAGTAATATTTGTCTTCACCGCGTTGCATGGGCCTGCCAAGACTCGAAGATAGTGCAAAGACACAGCATATCAACATCGGAGCATTGAGATGCTGCGTTGCTCTGCTCGTAGCCTCAAGAACTGCCCAAGCCGATCGGCAGAGCTCGCAAGATGGCAAAGGCCACGGGGGCCCTGTACTGAGGGCTCCACCTTCGCCGGAAGAATTTCTTCGCAATAAAGTTTTTTCATTCATTAAGCAAGTGTTTTTTTTTTTTTCACGATTGGCAGATCGCGGAAGCTAGCGGACGCTGGCTTAACCAGCTTTCGCTGGCTCCACTCTTTCAGTTCCACTCTTTTTCGAGGTTGCGCGTCAGAATGTCCAATATTTAAATGGTAACGTTGAACTTGAGGTGGCTGCTTCCTTCCTCTCCATATCCCGTCTTTTTTTTTTTTTTTTAATGTCCATTCATGTCATGAGTTGCGCTCCCTTGCTGTCTGGCAGCCTCCGGCGAGAGCAGCCACCCCGGTGGGCACAAAGAAGGCAGCGCGGGGTGCGCTGCCGAGATCGCGGTGTCCCGGGACGGCTTCGACTTCACAAAGGGATGAGTTTCTGCGACTGCGATCGGTAATGGCACTCTGATGGATACCACTACTGCGCGGCCTTGCTCTCGTGTGCCTTTGTTTCGCCCTTCTTTCTCTGTTTTGTTATTTTTTTCCCGCTTGCTCGCTCCAACTTTTGTTTTTTCTTCCGTGGGGTCACCAGTTTTGCTTGCGGCCTTCCCCTCGCTGGTCCCTGCTGCGTGCGAAAGTTTCTTTCGGTGCAATTTCCATTTGATGGCGTCACCACGTTCACCTATACCTCTGATGTTCGTGCGTTTGGCCGGCGCACTCCTTCAGCCTTTGTAATGTACTTCGCTCCCCCCCTCCCTCCAAACTCTTCTGTCTCGTTTTATTTTTTTATAACCGCCCCCCTCGGATCTTCCTTTCCGTTTATCTGCGGGACGTTTCCCGTGCTCGCGCGAGTACACCCCTGTGGGACGGATTTGAAATCTGCGACTGTGGCAATGTGTCTGTGTCCCATGCGCCGCTGCTGCGGTGTGTCGTCCATTGTGTTGCCGCGCCAGTGGAGGGACCGTTATCCGAATGGTTTCCGCGAACAACAGCGCTAAATGGAACGCTGCCGCATGGTCGACTATTGTCAATTTTTTTTCTTTTAATTTGACCTTGTCAGAGAGGCAAATCGAACGCGTACGAACAACCCCGACCCTTTTGTGGTCATTTTTTTTTTATTTTCCGCAAGTTTGGATTGTAACCCCCTTTGTACGCGTCGTTTGTTTGTTGAATAAAAGCTCCGTTCTTACCGATCCAGTCGGTGCGTGATGAGCGAGTAACGTGTTTTGTGTCTCTTCTTATAACTGCGTGTACATTCTGAATCGAATTTTTTCTGCGGTTGTCGAAAAACGACTTTGGCCGCCATCTTTTGCCCAGGACGGCACCGCAATAAGACCCACATTAATTAGGCATGTGCGATGTGACACAAGCATAAAACCTGGCTGCTAATTTGTGGTTGGAAGTGTGGACCTTGGCGTAGTGAGAAACCGGCCGTTCTGCCATAATATCGCAAGCTCTACTACAAATTTAAAATACGTATACCCCCTCCCAAATCGAAAAAAAAAAAAGAAAAAAAAAAAACCCTGCTACCCTTATTGATCGTGCAATTGGAACGTCGCTCAGAACACTGATCCATACCGCGCGAAGATTGGTGCAGAGCGAATAGGGGAACGGGGTCGCTGCGAAAATTTCAGCCCGCTGAACCGTTTCGGAATGGCGTACTGCGTACACGTAAGAATACGCTAAATGCTGCTCGCCACTGCTGCCTACGGTTGCCTCCCGCTGCGTATCAGTCTTCGTAAACTAGCACAGACGTATGGACGCTTATATTACGCCGGGGAGGGGGGGGGGTTCAAAAAGTTGCTTTGGTGCGTTGTTGTTTCGAACAGACCACACACACACACACGACGAAGCGCTCCGCCGTTTCCTGCGCGCGTTCCGCGAATGATGCGTGTGTGTGTGTGTTCGCGGACATTTTTTTTCCGCCGTCTTTTCCGGCGGCCTTTTGCGCGCGTATAGTAATGTACTAACACTGCGCCAGGCTCGTTTGCACCGGCGGAAGGCGAGAGAGAGCACGAAACTTGGCAGGCTGCGCGATTCTCGTCGTCAGGTGCGGCTGGCCGGCGTTGGTTGTTTTCTCGATAAAAAAAAAAAAAAAAGCAAGAGCGAGAGAGAGACGGCGAAGCAACGAGGTGCAGTCTCCGGAAACGCGCCGCCTCCGCGGGCATCGGCAGCCGCATACGCGCGCGCGGCACGCTGACGGCTTGACCGGGCCGGACAGTCGCCGAAGCCTCGTTTGGAGCCTCTCCAAAGTAGCCTCTAATGATTCGTATTTAGAGCATCCGCCGGCGGCGGCATCGGACAGCGCGAGCCCGCTGTCCTAATGTGTCTACTGCACAGGGAGGGGGCCGAGCTGTGAAGCGCCGCGCCAACAGCTTGATTACAAGGCGGCGGCCTCCGGGCAAGCTTTCGGCCAGCGTCCGTCGTGTGCGGCGTTGTCCGCGGTGGCTTTCACAGCAGGGGGGGAGCTCTGTTGGAAACGCTTTAGTGTGGCTACACTAAATGTGGCCGCCGCCGCGTTTGTTTTCTCTCCTCCGCTCGTTACGCGGAAAGAAAAACGTACGCGGTCCCAGTCATTCATGACGGCTGGGGCCTCTGTCGCCAGGGGCGTGCGCGCAGCAGCAAAAAGGAAGGAAGGTGGGTGGTTCGGACCTTGGGTTCGCTGGCGGTCAGCGAGCCCCGGAGCGCAGGCGGTGAGAAATGTTTTTTTTTTCGAGTAGCTAGCTGGCTGTGTGCTCGCGCGTGCCAGAAAGCAGGCTTCGGTCTGGACGCGATGAAAGATGCACCCGCACGGAAACCCGTATAGAGGCAGTCAGTCGCTCATTTCTTTCTGGGCGTGCGCGTGCGTTTTCTGCGCTGGTCGGTTACAAAGTGGGCTCGCTTGTGGTCTTCTATCGTAAAGCGTATATATACTCTGTTAATTTATTTTAAACACGACGCTGCGCCTATTCTCTGCTTCCTTGTCTTTTTTTTTTCGCGTTTCTAAGTTCAACCTCAACACCGGATTGAACGGAAGGAACGAGAGAAAACATGTGGAGGAAACTTTCTTTCTTTCTTTCTTTCTTTCTTTCTTTCTTTCTTTCTTTCTTTCTTTCTTTCTTTCTTTCTTTCTTTCTTTCTTTCTTTCTTTCTTTCTTTCTTTCTTCGTGCACCACTGCAGCGTCGTAATCAAATGTATATCTGTCTCGCGGCTTTGCCCCGAGGGCAGCTCCAACCAATTGCCGACTGATCGCGCGCGCGCGTGTGCAGCCGGGTGCGTAAAGAGTTCGCGGTGCTGCTTTCGCAACCCTCGCCGTCCGAACTGTATGCATCGCCGCCCGAAAGGCCGCGGTCTCTCCCCCTCTCGTTCCACCCCGAGTAAACGCGGGCAGCGGCGGGCCAACCCTCTGTCGCTGTTTGACTTGTGAATCGGAGAACGATCGTTTGTTAGAGTCGGGCTCGCGCAGCTGCCGCCCTTGCAACCGACCACTCCTGAAATTTCGGTGCTTCCCTGCCCCGAATCCAGAGGTTTGTTGTGAGTACACACGAGGGTTGATGAATACGGGCTCACCGGTGGCTCTTAATGAGATTTTTTTTTTTTTTTGTAAGACCAGAGGGCAAGTTCAGCGTATATGCGTTTCGAGTTCAATGGAGTGACGACCTAAGCAGGACATGAGCCTACTCGGTTGCGTGAAAAATTAATGGTGCCTCGCAATGGTTTGAAATGCACTAGCCAGGGATGGGGTCGTGCGACGACGATTTTTTTTTCTTTCGATTAGGAATCAGGTGTGTCACTAATGGCACCTGTCTGTATGTTCGTCGAGAATTTGGGTGCAGAATACATATATGCACGGCATTGAATGTGAAGAAATAGTGGCAAAAGAGTATTTAAATGTGACTAATATTTAAGCGCTGCTACCTGCTCGTGATGATGTACGTCAAGCAAAACAACTCGTCGCAGTGGCTTAACGAATATATATGGTGTCGCTCTACGTATACATCGTCGCGTGTTTAATTCGCGAAAATGTAGGCGTGGACAAAGTGTGGAAACGCCTCTATACTTGGATTTAAGTTTACGTTCAAGAATTTCAGGTGGTCAAAATTAATACGGTGTCCTTCACGGTGGTCTGCCTCAAAATCGCATTGTTAATGAAAACTCTGGTATATTTAGTTATTTATTTATTTATTTGAATACTTTCCATGCCCGAAGGCTTTACAGAAAGGAGTGGGAGTTATACAACAAAATGTAAGCGAAATGTTACAGTTGCTGCAAAATGGAGAGTTTGAAGTTTGCATTTTTCTCTTGCATGACTACAGTTAGTGCGTATCTGAAACTGTTTACACGGATAGTCAGCGGTCCGTGGAATCGCATCGTCATGACGTCGTGTGGCTATATTCGCGATTGGTGTGTGTGTGTGTGTGTGTACGGTTCCATATGTCTGCAGACGCGAGTGCCTTGGTGTGGCCTGCACTGACCCTGTGGCCTGGTTTTCTCTTTGCAGGCGAGCAAGGGTCCGATGGTGGCCTCTCCGCACCCGGGATCGCCGCTCAATTTTATGGTCTACAACGAGACCTTCTCGCAGCCACCGCCTGCCCACATGGGCATCCCGCCGGTCCACATCGATCCCAAGACGGGTGAGTACCGACACGTCAACTCCCACCAGGGCGCTTGCCAATAGAATTGTGTAGCTTTTTTCGCATGTAGCTATAGTGGTCGCTGATTTACTGCTTCAGAGACGGAACACAACTTGAGACATGAATACAGGCACGTCTCTGGTGACAAGAGAAGCCGCGACATGCCCATAGACGTTCAGAATCAGCCGAAAGCCGCCTTGTACGATCATGCAGTCATAGTGATCTGCGTGCAAGCTCTCCCTGAGTGACGACGAGATCGCCAAGCCAACACCGAGGAACCTTGTCGAGTGCGAGCTCGTGCGTCCGCTGTAAATTTCGTATGCCGGGACATCGCACAGTATTTACGTCCTTACACTTTGATCGCCACCGCACGCATGTCGCAGAAAACTGGAGAAATCACTCGGAGCTTTGCGCGTCAACACTTGACGCACTACTGGAAATGACATATTTTCTGCGCAATTTTATCAGCCTGCAATGCCGCCTGTGTAGATAATCCGGGTGAGTTCGACATATATAGTAGCAGACTGCAAATAGTGCCAACTATTGCATCCAACACTAGAACATCTCAACGGGCTCTGGAAGAAAGTTTTGGTCAGCTGCGACCCTGTGGATTAGCACAGGCGTGTCGAGAGGGTCGAGGACGCAGCCCGAGTTGAGTGCATTCTGGAAGAAGGATGCTTTTTTAAAGTTTCTTTGGCGAGATGAAAATAATTCATTCTCTCTTTGCGAAGAACAAGAACGCCGCAGAATGTGTGTCAAGAGCCTGCACGAGCTCGAAGCAGAGATACGCGGAACACTCATGTTAAAAACAATGAACGCCTATCAGCACTGCCGCCTATCAAAGGTGGCCATTTTCGAATCGCAGAGCGCAGTAGATGTATCTGGGTGAAGCATTCCTCTGTACTCTCCAAACGGCGTCTGACTAGAGCTCTTCGTGCAGTCTATAGCGGGCTCAAGTTAATTGTAACCAGCTCTTTCGCAATCATAACCCCTAACTGACTGCCGTTCAAGTGTTGGCAGATGTCAACAACACGGCGTGATCGGCAGTTTGTTCTTCATTTCATTTAGGTCGAGCAACCAGTTATAGCTACACATGCTCGGTAAGGTGAACGGTGGCCAGCAGAGGTCCGTGCACGCATGGCAATGCACGCCACCACAGCGGCCCCCTTTCGTACGCGTTAGTCGGTCCCAATCCCAAGATTTTAGCGTCGTGTACTCTCGGTTACGGTATTTTTTTGTGGGGAGGGGGGGGGGGGGGCACGCTCGTGCAAAGATGTGGACCTCGAGATTGTTTTCACAGATGCGCGTCGCAAAAGATCTTGCGAAAAGGCTGACTCGCTAAAAGAGTGAACTCGAAGAGTGAGTAAGAGCGGTAACAAGCATGCCTTGTCGAATTTCCGTTTGCGAGAGCAATGTAGCTTGACTGCTGCCGAGCTCGCTGTCGCCGGAGGCGCTGTAGAAACGAAAAAAGGAGGTGGGATAGTAGTGGGACCTGCAGGTCGTGGCAGTGACGCGATGAAAGGTGGCGCGTTCGCTGCTGTGTGCACATTACGGGAGGAGGAAAAAGAAACAACGAAACACGGGGGGTTTGCGTGGTTCGGGGGGGGGGGGGATGCATCGCGTAGAGGACGCGAGTCGAGAGAGGTTCGGTTACGCTGCGGGGCCCGAAAATGCAATTTCCCGCCACCGAGTTCGCGCTGCTCGAGGCGAGGCAATTTTCCAACTCCTCGATGGGGAAGAGCGAGGAGGCCAAGTAGGAGACGGGATCGAAGGAGATCGGGCGTCTTATTTCGGCTCTGCCGGCGCAAACGGGAAAACGTCGTTAGGGGGTGCGCAAAAGCCGCCCCACTCCCTCCCGCCGCTAACGGCATTCGTGCAGTCCCTGTTATCGTATCGACGAAGGAACGCCGCACGAGAAACTTTGGCCCGAATGCGGAGCAATACGACCGGCGCTGTCGCGTAAGCTCGGGCCGCAATCTGATTTCGCCCGCCGCCGCCGCCGCTGATCCGATCCCGTTCGCGGCCGCGTATATCCTTGGCGTCTTGTTGGCTCGCGCTAACCGCATTCGCCACTGACGGGGTCCCGCCCGTCGTCTGTGGCGTGGCGCGTTTTCGCTTTGCCGGTTTCACTGGGTGTCCACGTTTGGGTTTTTGTTTTTCGATCGAGTTTGCGCGGGTCGTTGCGCGATGCCGACGAAAATTCGGCGTATTGATATCGCGCTCGGCAGCCTCGCTTGGTTGCCACGGTCAAAGTGGAGATACGCGGAACGACTGCCAAGCGTGCTTCTTCTGTCTGGACTCGTTGAAGGTGTCCCTCCTCCCCTACTTCTGGGCGCTGTTAAATCATGTCCGGACTCGCGCGAATCGGCTACCCTTGGGCGTTGGAACCACTGCAGTTTCCGCAGAATCTCCGGTTTTCGTAGAAATTGAAATAATAGCGCTGCTTGTTCGTACGCCTTCGTTTTAGCCTCGTCTTTCCGCGTACCGATTCACTCTCCTGGTGCGGTCATTGCGCGCATAGCAGTGCTTCGCTTCGTGCATCTTGGGCGTCATGAAACGCTTTCGCGATCCAGCCGGCGATGCCAGGTCACTGAAAAAGGAAACAACAATAGAGGCCCCGCAGCGTTCCAAGAGCATGCCTGCTTCGAAGGGAGATGCGCGCAGGAGGCATTAGTCAAACTGTGGACTCGATAACGATGGACATGGCCCTCCGTTTTGAGCGCGCACGGAGGCGGCGTGCCCCGATAGCTCTGCCGCGTGGATAGCAGCCGTCGCCGGCCGTTCTGCAGCGGCTCGCTCGAGCGCGGCGATGGTGGTGGTGGTAGTGATTAGAATGAAGAGGAAAAAGGCACCTAATTTCTGTCTGCCTTCAGGCGACACGGCGCAGTGCCTTATAGGGGTGGGGGGAAGGAGGGATAAAAAGAATAGAAGGAAAGTAGAAGCAGAAGAAGACAGCCAACGAGAGGAAAAAAGAAGGAGATAGGAAAGTGGGGATCCGGTCGAAGAAGTCCAAGGGCGGGGTGCCACAATGCGAGAGCTACACGGCGTCAGGAGACCGCGGAGGGCGAACCAGTCGGCGGGAGCTACGCTGAAGTCGGAGATCGCGAGGGCACAACCGTCCAGCTTGAAATCCTGCGAGCGAATCGCGCGGCGATGGGCAGCGTGTAACGGTCTTTCGCAGTCTTGCAACGAGAATGGGAAAGGGGGACACCACGAGAGGTCCGGTTCTCTTTTCCGATAAGCGCATTAACGTCGGTTCCTATATCTGCGATGGCCGGCCGCGCCGCCAAGCTGGTCGCTGTGCCCGGAAGGCCGCGCAATTGCCGATGCCAATGACAGATCTGTGTGTGTATCCTTCCGCACTGCGGCGCCACCCTATCGACTGAAGGGGACGACGCCGTGGAAAATGGACAGGCTTGAGAAACGCGCTTTTTCTCTAAAGGCGAACACTAGCGCTGGTGCCGGATGTCGCCTGTACTTGGGCCGCTTATTGGTTTTTTGACGCTCTGTACCAAATTTAGAGTGGGGCATAACACTATGCTGTCCCGAAGCAAAAAAGGAAGCGAAAAAGGAACATCAACTGGGTGCACGTTAAAGAACCCCAGGTGGTCGAAATTTCCGGAGCCCTCCACTACGGCGTCTCTCATGATCATATGGTGGTTTTGGGGACGTTAAACCCCACATATCAATCAATCAATCAATCAATCAATCAATCAGGAACATCAACTTTGTTGCTTTCTAGACGAATTAAAAAAAAAAGAACTACGTGTGCGCCAGTCTGACAGAAAGGGCAACGAAATTAAAGGGACTGTAGACTGAAATAGACTTGATTCAAATCGATAAACTGTATTCTGAAAATTTCATTGTTAATTTCAGGATCATAAGTTCATTATTAGAGGAGAAAATTGAGGTTGAAGTTTCGAATATCGCGCCGAAATTTCTCCACACGACATCACTGATTTCAAAATGCATTTTTCGCATTTTCATGACATTGGCTCGATGAAATTTTGTGAAAACTTCGTATGTTGTAACTCTATGGCCACCGCAGACGTCAATGTACTTCAACCTAGTAGAACATGTGAGAACCTATGACGTCACGGTGTGTGGTTCGATAATCTCGAGGTTGCCTCTCCACCCGCATTTTCCTTTCGCGCCTTTTCTCGCTTACCAACTGTCGTCTCGCGGTAAAAGTGGCGTTTCCGCAATTGTGTAACTCTACTTTATTAATACCCGAAAAAAAAGTTTTTTTCCCCATCTTTTCAGTGTCCCTTTAATGGTAGAAACGGCTTGCTCGCTTACGCCTATATGCTACTGCTACCATATTATTGGCACATATGGTTAGCTACTCCTACGAGAGCCGTGTAACGCTCCGCCGGTTTAGCGGCACTCTGCAACCTGTTGACGTTAGGCCTCATTGCACACGTGGACAGGTCCTCCAAAATGCACTCCTCATCACCAAAACAAGTCTCTGGCGAAGTCCGACTGCGCCGACGTGGCCGAAAACACACACACACACACACACACACACACCATATATATATATATATATATATATATATATATATATATATATATATATAGCTATATATATATATATATATATACACCTGCTTGATGTATATAGGAGCCGTCAGAACATGGATATAGGGCAGATGTGTTTTGGAGGTATATATAAGTTGGGCTCGCCCTCTACATGGAATGAAAATTCTCCTTGCCTAGCCACGGCCGCTGAAGTCACTGTGGTATAGTTCACCGAGGTGCCGTTCATCTCAGCATTGTCTAATCTTTACCAGTTTCGCAAGAGAACAAGTACAAATGACACCGATTAAAAATGAAGTTCCGCGTCTGGCAATGCGCAGTCCGCTTCGAGTAAGGCAGTCTTCTGCGCGGAGTGTGTGCGCACCGCCTCCAACCTTTCATGTTTCTCTGTACATTGGGTAGACTTCGCAACGTTGCGCAATTGACCCGCTGTTCTAGTGGCTATAAGACACCCGGCTGGTGACCCGCAGGTCGCGGGATCGAATCCCGGCTGCATTTACGATGGAAGCGAAAATGCTCTAGGTCTGTGCATTTAGGTGCACGTTAAAGAACCCCAGGTGGTCGAAATTTTCGGAGCCCTTCACTACGGCGTCTCTCTTAATCATATGGTGGATTTGGGATGTTAAACCCCAACAATTAATAATGCTGCGCAATCCTCCGCGTTGTGCCTTAGTGGCCGTGTGTGGCGTTTTCCTAATAGCTCGGATTCGATTGCCTTCCAGGGCAGCCGCATTCAGATTGGGGCGAACGTCTTCACACGGCATTACGAGCGCTATATGGCATGACGATAGTTATAGCGCGAGAACGAAACGACGACACAGAGACAAGAAGGACACGAAAGACACCTTCTTGTCTCTGTGTCGTCGTTTTGTTCTCGCGCTATAACTAACGTCATGCCATACCAACTAGCCCAAGCTGCCTGATTTTTAAGCTATAGGTAGTGTCGAAAGCAGCCGTCGGCAACTGGTGCCAGAATAAAGGACTCCCGTTTATTGCGTTGAGTGATAATGTATGCACTCTTGTGAGCCTCACGGGGTAATTAATTTAGCTTGGCACACGTAGGTGTCGTCCAGCGTTACGTCGCACCACTGGCGTAGCCAGTAGAAATGGAGGGGGGATGTCAATTTCCCATGTATATATATGTATACTCGCACATACAAAACGGGCACGAATATACGTAATGTTTGGTTGATCCCCCCCCTCTCTCTCTCTAGGCAAATGAGTAAACTGGCTATACGCTTTTGTGTTTCACAGTGAACGCAGACAGGCTACAACCATCTTAAAAAAAAAAAACAAAGCATATTTCGATTTACACCCTAGTGGTCAAGTCAAACTCAACTATAAGATCCTCGGTCTTCCTTCTCATCCTCCTGCCTTCTTGCGCCTAATAGCGAAATATCGTGTTCGAGTGGTGGCCACATTTCTTTAATAGGCGTGCTAAATGGGTTCATGATGGAGTCACTGGAGCCTTTTGTTAAGACGACCCCCCATAGCCTCGTTAGCTGCCTCGGGTGTGTGTGTGTAATAATAGTGTGCGCTCCGAAAATGTGGTTCGTTTCGAGGCACTTTCACTTCACTTATGGGCTCCTCCGGAGCTCCTATAACGCAGGAGATAATGCGATGGCCGACGTGTTAATGTCGTTAAGTTTTCGCGTTGGATTTGCAGACGAGGAACGAACCAAAGCGCTGTTACAGATACACACACCGCATCTCCGACTGGGTTTTCTTTCTCGTCTAAAGGTTGGCGTCTCGCCGCATGCCGAGTTCAGGCGCCGGGCTCCTCGGTAGCGCGCTTGTGTTTTGCCGCGCGTGTATTGGTGCGTGGCGTTGCGGGCCGGCTGGCCCTCTAGCGTCCGGGAACTGTGTAGCTTGGCTACAGCTGCAAATATTTACGCCTTGGCTGGAGGCCCGCGGTCGGCCTTGCGAACGGACCCTTTCTTCGGCTTCCGGCACGCCTTTTCGCATCTTCACTCGCCGCTGCCTTCGTTTCCACCGACGCGGGGCGTAAATATTTTTGGCCGCGCGCTGTGTGTCCCGCGAGGGGCATCTGAGCTCGCGCTGGTCACGTGGGTTTGGTGGAGAGTGGCTTCTCGTCGAGACGGGCTGCAGGGCGGTTGCGAAAGAAGTGGGGGTCTCCATGTGGCACGCCGGCTCTGTTATTGCTCAGAATGTAGGTTGTACGTTCGATTCCTAACTTCATATTTATAAACGTACCGCAGCTGTGAAAATTGCCATCCACAGCGATTAAAATAAAACATCACAGAAAAAAATATTGAATTGGGAACACAACCATGAACTTCGTACTAGTTTATGCTCAAGCGTTTATACTAATCGGTTTGTGTGCTAACTTCTACTCAATATATGGCTCCAGTTTTAATTTATGGCATACCTTGTCTCTAAAATCCTAACCAGAACCCATTTCACCCCTTTTATTGTTTGTTTTTGTTTTTATCATGGTTTTCTGACAAATTGCACAGGCACTTGACGGGGTAATCACTCGGAGAGTCACTCGGTACTTGTGCCACTAACAAAAAAAAAAGGGGGGGCGGGGGGGGGCTAGGAAGTTCGAGCCTTTTCACGGGGTCCTTAACGAAATACGTCATAGCTGTTTTTATTAGTTACGCGATTACGTTTTGCACCGCTGACCAAAATGTTGAGGTCTCGGAACTGTAATGCCTTCCTGTCTCCACAGCCAAAACTGTGTACGAATAGAGGCGGTACTGAATCGCTTCCCTCGTATTCATGCGGATATCCGAGGAGGAGCAACTACTCGGGCTACGTGACAGGGCTTTCACAGGAATCCTCAGCATCTCGTGGCGCCATGGAGTGAAGCTTTGTCGTCGAGTTGGCCATTGCTGAAGAGTTTAGTTCCAGAGTCATTGGTGAATGGCGCTCGTAGTGGTGTATGTGTAGTAGCTGCGTACTTTTTATGAATGCTACGTTTTCCGCGTTCGAGTCCAGGGTGTTTTCCCCCATCGCGCCGTTTAAGAAAGCGCTGTTTGAGAGACGTGCGCTTTCTGTTCATAAAATGCCTCGTGCATATATGTTTGCGATTGTGTCGCAGTCGAGGGTCTTCCAGCCGCGGATCGTGACCCTGCTACGGTTGGTCGGCGTGCATGACTTCTTTTTTTTTTTTCTCGTCTCTGCAGGTATCCCGAGGCCGTCCGTGTACCCGCTCACCTCACCGGGCCAATACACGCATAGCATGTTTTCCCAGGAGTTCGCGCAACAACTGCACTGGTGAGTATACTCTCGCGTTGCGCATGCTTGACCTGCTGGACACGAGTCGGGGCCAACGCACCCTTTGCTCCCGGCACGGCGCTCGTCTGTGGGCGGAGGGTGCTCGGCCACGCCAGCGACTGTCCAACAACGCTCGTTTTGGCGGACTCACCACGCGCAGTGCCGGAACTGGTGCCGCAGTGCGCGGCTGATGCTGTCGAGGGGAGAAATAATTGGGGGCGACCGAGTGCACGCTGGAAGATGGGCGCATGCGCCGAGTTCAATCAATGGCGCCGTGTCAGTGGGATTAGGATTATTGGTCCAGTTTTGGCTGTTTGTATCTTACCCAACCACATTACACCGCCACCTGATCAATAAACGGTCCTTTCTTTAAAAGATTTCTGCGGTTTTTAGATTGCGTCCCCGCGGTTGCACGGGGTTTCCTCAGGTAGCGCGACCTGGCAATGCTCGCCAAAGATGCCCGCCGGCAGCGAAGGCCCCTTAGGTGACGCTTTCGCTTGAGCTCTCACGAAGCGCTTATTACAGTCGATTGCGTGCTTCCACGTGCCCAGCGACACAACTTTTTTTACTTGTACTATGTCTCCCCTTCTGCTAACGCCACGCCACTGCTTACCGCTGTGCAGGAGTGAGTCGTTTGTAGTTGGATAGTTGGAATGCACTGTTCGGCAGTAACTTACTTATTTAAATAAAAGAACGATCAGACCTTTTAGCTGTCGGAAAGTATATTTCTGCCTTTACGTGGAGTTCGTGTGGGGAAAACGACGAGAACCTTACTGTTGTACAATTTTTATGCAAATCTGTATAATATATATATATATATATAATATATATATATATATATATAATGTGTATGTTTTAGGACGCATATATGAATCTCGTATTATAGCATTGCAGTTCATGTTATTTGGACGGAAGCTTCTCATAACGCGAAACTTTCCTGTGCCTTGCTGGTTGTTGTCGTACTCATCCACATAAATCTCATAACGTTAAAAAGAAAAGCGAATGTACGTGACTTTATCTCTTATTCTCTCGCCGGGCTTCTTGTCGGACATATAGTTGACGTTGTCTCGAGTGGAAAAGGGGAGATCCGTGGAGTGAAATGCGTTTCGCAGATAGGGGTGACCAGTGGAAAAGGGGAGATCCGTGGAGTGAAATGCGTTTCGCAGATAGCGGTGATAAAATGCTTCTAGATGCGTGTGCTGCTGGGTAGTATTATTTTTTGCCTTGTTTTCATTTCGTCTTCGGGGAGTGGAGAGCACCTATCCCGAGTGGCCGCTTCCTCGTCATGGTCAGTGCCGGTGCAACGCATCGCGAAGCCGCGTGGCGCCACTTTGGCCGCCTGCTGTGTGGCCCTTTGCAGGCGGAAGTTTATACACGGACGTGGTTGTGGCACCGTCTAGACGTTAAAGCCCACCGGGCCACATCTCGCCTGAGTCAGATAATGTATCTACATGTTCGTATCGAGGCCACGTGGTGATGCCCGCGATCTTCTCGCCACGTGGTGATGCCCGCGATCTTCTCGCAGTTTGTCACGGTACGCTCGCTTTGAATTGTGTGCGAACGGAGGGTGGTGTGTGTGTGAGTGTGTTTCCCTAAAAGAAAACAAAAAGCAGCAGCGAGTGGCTAAATGCGTACTTCCTTTGCTTTAAACTACATTGCTGTCTATCCAGTCATACAGTCAAGTGCTGCCACTGCACCGTACAAGACTCATTGCGATGCACAGCTCCTTTAAGACGGACCCATGGCAGCGGCAGAGGACTACCGAGACGTCATCAGCCTGCAGTGTGCAGTTTTCACAATTACGGGAGTGATTTTTTTTTTTCCTGCATGAGGGTGGAGATTCGAGCTTCGGCTTCTTAACGCGTCATGTCCGGTAGTCGCGGTAACTCCGATACTGCGTATAGCGCGACGGCGTTTGCGGTGTATAGCGTTACTGTGTGCGCGCTCTTCCATCATCCCTGGCGCCTTCTTCTTCTCTCTTGACACTCTTTGTCTTCATTGCGAGTGCCGAGGGGCACTCACGTTTTTCGCTGTAATTCGCGAGACGAAGACCTGCTTCTCGAGGGAGAAAACCTAATTACGAAGTGGAGGTTGTGCAGGGTCTGCAGGTCGGGGATTGAATTGCAAATGGAGAGGAATCTCGGAGGAGCATGAATTAACGATTAATCTCCGCGGCATTGCTCAGAGCCGGCCACTCGGGACCCCGTTTTCTTCTTTTCTCACGGGAGCAGTTTCTCTCTCTCTTTTTTTTTTCTCGTTTCATCGGTTTTTGTATCGCCCGCATATATAGCTTCGTTTCGGTATAGTTCGTTTTTTTTTTTTCTGCCGCCTTCTGTCGCTTCTTTTGCACCGATCGCGGACGTGCCGCTCTTGGTCCGCTCTCTCCTTCCTCCCCCGGTTTCTTTTGCCTCTTGGCCCGCTCTGTACCGGCGGCCCCGTGCCTTTATTGCATCGCTATGGTTCGCGTACCTGTAGTGAAGTGTACTGCGTAGGACTCTCCGGCCTTCGGACCTGATTCCTATGCACTTCTCGGTAATCGAATCAGCCTTCTATTCCCCTTGATGAGTATTCTGTTCGCCCTCCTCATTTGGTGCCGTCAATGACGGCGCGCCATCGGCAGTGATGTTCAGACACGCTGGCGGCACGGAGAAAGGTACGAGAAACTTGCACGAGACTGCTTCTCGGAGGCGGAGCAAGCGATGAAAGAAGGCGCGTCATTTGTAATGCTTGTAGTGTGTGGGTGTAATCTGTGTGTGTGTGTGTGTCAACGTGTGTCGCCACCTGTCAGCGTGGGAAACGCGTTGTCCGAACTGACGGGAGCAGCAGCGGGCGATCGAGATGTGAACACCTTTTGTCCATTTTTTCCTTCCATCACCCCCCCCCCCCCTTTTTTTTTGCCTTATAAATGGAAGGGACCACATTGAACGTTACGTGGAAGTTAGGCCTCGCTCCGCTGAAGAGAAGTTTGTCTCGTTTATTTGAAGGCGAAATCTTTAGATCTCTTATGTTCTGAGGTCGCGTCAAGAGATAGACAGACAATAGTTGGGCCGATACCGGAGCGAATGTGACACCAAGCGTGGCGTAGAAAGCTTCAGGGGGTTTGGGGGAGGGGGGGGGACTATGCTGCTGATTGGGGGGAACGTCAACTACGCGTCTTGCAAGGAGTCTGGTCGCCGATGGTGTAATTTAGCGCATATAACTGAGTGTGAAACAATCATTCGCACTCAAGTGTCGCGGGCCGTGTAACGCGCCGAAGAAACTACGTTTATCTGATTCGAAGTAACATATGCGATGTCTATCTAATTTGCGCACCGTCTTGTACGATATTCGCCGTGTCACCGTGTGGCTATATAAGCGCGTTGCGTTGTTGGGGACCGTGCGCAGAGCGGCATGCGTGATTGCTTCCGCCGCTCCGCGTGCGCAGTCATGGGGTGTGTTCCAATACTCACCGTAGACAGCTAAATCGACGGCGGCCATCTTAATGCCATCTTTCGAAAAGCGCACCGGTGCGCACTAACCGTCTTCGGTAACCAGGGCGCACCCTGTCGGGGCACTTTTTGTTGTTGTTGTTGCTCCGAAAAAAAATCGCCGGAGCGACGCTGTGCAATCCCAGCGTTCGTTGCGTGGCGCGCGCGTAGCAGACGATCAGCAGACGACGCGCAACGGCTGGTATTCCATTTGCCCCTTACAAAGAACCGGGGCGTTCTGCCCCATTTTGGTTTATGGGGAAATGCTGGACTGCTCCGCGAACTGCTCCGGGGCACAATTCCCGAATATGCTATGAGTTTCATTCCAATTCTCACGTAGCCGGCAAAATATACAGCTCCGAGAAGACGGCATCGGAAACAAATACGATGCAGGCTAATTTGCTGTCCAAACAAGATGGCGGATCAGCGAATCGCTCAGATAGATCGGATTTCGCTGAAATAGTCGTCTGCACACAAGCAGACGCTTTTTCAGACGCTCAATGTGACTAACGTTTATTTTTTTTTTAGATTTCAACACGAAATAAGCAAACAAATACAACAATTATGTTTATTTCAGTTTTTTCTTCTCGACGCGAGGTGGCGGCTCGTAGCGTAGAAGCCGTCCAGACGTGTTCCATTTCTCGGACAGCATGGGCTCGGTGCGGTATTCTAAGCTGTTTGCGTTATACTATATATCGCGGCTCCAGCAATTCATGCGGCACTTAGCGGCAACATAGGGATGCTGCGTAGTGAGGTCCGAACAGTCCGAGAGCGCCAGTCGTATACGGTAGGAGCACGATAGTATGGTTTCGCCCGTGAAGGAAAAATGAATCGCCAAGCAGATTCCTTCTTTTTAGGTGAGGCACTAGTGTTAATTTGTTCACTCGAACCTATTGAATGACCATCGTATCCAGTGACTACATGTCGCTGCGGCGCCCGATGCAAGCAAATTTCGCAGAGACGCGGTGCGCCATGTGCATTACACACACAACGCGACCACTTTAATAACACCGCTCGCGCTTGTGGCACCACTGGTGCCGACTAAAATAAGATGCTCCGCGTCAACAACCCGCTCCCCTTCTACAAAGCAGCGCGAAGTGCATTCACACTGCAGGAAACTCGATAATTGTGTTAGCGACAGCGGACGCGGTGACCTCCGTGAATCCGCCATGCTGCAACTCCGCGGCGCCCTCTCATGTTCATTTGAGTTGCGAATACGTGCTGTCTAAGAACTGAAACAAAGCCATGTTCGGCTCTTACATTTTCTGACAAAATTTACACGTGCATATCTCGCAAGGCTGAAGCCATTGTCCTCATTCTATAGAACTAACACTGTTACCTCGTGAAGAATGGGACCCTCCGTTGTAAATTTTCTTTCTTTTTTTTTCATTTTGCTCTATTCAGACTAGTAACCTACCATGGATGGCATAGTAGTTGATGGGAACTAGAAACGTGCTGTCAGCGCTGTTAAGTCTTGACACTCACCGCTGCGTTTCCGTTAAAAATTTGAGAGAGAGATAAAGAAATAGATGG